TGACCATTGCCTTCTTATGCTGACCATAATCCCCTAAAGAAAATATCTCACTCAACAGGAAAGATGGAATTCCTTTTGACAAGGGTCCAGATGAACAATTGTATTCTTCCATGAAGAGACCAATGTCCCCTCCCCCATCACACACAGGCTGCTAGATCTAAAAGGATGGTAGAGACTATTTAATACAGTGTAGGCTCCCTTTTTAGCAGATAGGAAGTCAAGGCCTACAAAGAAAATGATTTTTGTCCTGTTGGTCAGAGGCAAAGGCAGGCTAGTCTAGGGATTAGTGGTCTATGCCACATGGCACAATTCAACTTTAATTTAAACAGACAGCAGATCACAGCAGAGCAAGAGGCTACTTTCCTCAGCAGAAATTTCCTTGTGGCCCAAACTTGCAGAGGAACCGCAGGACAAACACAACAAGGTTTCCCTGCGCTAGCTAGTTCCACCCACCGGATGTCATGCATTGACCCAGGCCTCCTGCCTGCCCGTTTCCATTTTAAATGAATACCCTGAAAATCCACACTACCCCACAATGGAAAAGAAGGTCTGGGTGTCCTGGTTTCTTGCTTTTGCCGCTTCATTTCTCTCTCAGGCTCCCCATTGGACTCTCTGCTCCAGCCTGATGTGGCTTCTTGGAGTCCCTCAGATAGGCTCAGCCAGTGTGCATGTGTGTTCCCTCTCAATGTGTGTCTATCTCTCCCTCCCCCATTTCTCCCTTTCTCTTCCTAGCTGCCTAGAAAGTTTTCTTAGTTTCTCTTAGACCAGTCATACTCAAACAATTGTGATTTTTTTTTCCCTCCTCCAGGGGACATTTAGCAATGTCTAGGGGTATTTGTCAATTGTTAAAATTAGTGCCTGGTGAAGAGAAGACAGGCATGCCAACCATTCCACAATGTCCAAGACTTTATCCTGTAACAAAAAGTTATCTGGCCCCCAAAGCTCATAATGGTGGGGTTAGAAGCTCCCGCTCTTTCACTTCCAACTTAAAGGTCACTCTTCCAGGAAGGCCTTCCCTGGTGCTTGAGGTTGGGTGGAGGCCCCTTCCATCATCCATTGGTGTTTCCATTCTGCCCTTTCCCTTATGATGTAACACCTGCCTTCTTAGCAGTATCTCAGCCCCTGAAAATGGACCGGGGAACTCAAAATTTGACACCGTAATATGCCACTGTCATCTATAAATGTGTTGGGGCACAGCCATAGCTAGCCAGGGACACATATGGCCTGTCAGCCACAGGTTAAAAATGCCCGAAGTGGAGAATGCATTGACCCATCCCCACCCCCACCCACTGTCCACGTTCTACAAAGCACACTCTTATCTGTTGCTCTTAGATACAGTAGCTTGCAAGGTGTTCTTTCTTCCCAGGAGTGGTATAGGTTTCTGAGGGCCTCAAATGCAGATGTCCCAATATTCTGGCACACTCTTTGGAGTGTGGCAGAAATGGTCTGATATCCCCCTCTAGTTGAGTGACCTTCAGCAAGTTGCTTAATTTCTCTAACCCCCAACTTCATCATTTATGAAGAACTATAAAAATAGAATGTGTTCCATGGAGTTGTGCAGATTTAATGACATGCATAGTGTGTGTGAAGTACTGAGCTCAGCTCTGGCACAGTGAGCCAAGGGATGCATTGCTGTAAGGAGAGGGAGATGGCTCAGTGTAGGAGAGTACTGTGCAAGTGTGAGGACCCGAGTTCAGATCTCAGAACCCACATAAAGCCAGGGGTGCTCATATGCACATCTGTAACCATAGCACATAGAAGGATGTGACAGACAAGAAGACTTCTAGGGTTTGCTGGTCACCAGCCCAGCTTCGGGTTCAGTAAGAAATCCTATATCTAGGGAATAAGATGGCAAGTTCCAGACTATGGCAGGATACATCTTCTGCCTTCTGCACGCACACATACAGGTGCTTATATCTACACACATGTGTGTCTATATACTATTTACCACACCCTCTTACATACACACACACACACACACACACACACACACACACACACACACACACACCCTTACTATGAAGAGGGTTCCCTTGCAAACTCCCAGCCTACACAAAAAAGTTGAATGGTTGGAATCAGAGTGTCACCTTATTCTTAAGTTCTTCAACACTCAGAGCTGCCTACAAATGTCTTGTCTTATTGTAGATTTATTACATGTGCCCAAGCACAGGGGTGCCTCTATATCACCGGCAAGTATGGCTCAGGTCTCTTACCCTCTCCACCTGCATCCTCTTTCAAACGCTGGCGTGGCACCCTGGCTCCTTATCTGGATTCCACGTTCCACCTTCTGTTTCAGCCTTTCTCAGTCTCCCTGGGTGCCGCCTCCAGTGTGAGCAGGGGTTCCTGTAACCAGCCTGACCCTGCCGCCTCTCAGGCCTGAAACCCAGTCCACAGCCAGGTGCCCCAGTTCCCATGGGATTGCTTACAAGGGAATTAGAAACAGTTTTGTGAGCTGAGAACCAAAGTAGACCACTGTATTTGCTTTTCCCCTTTAGAGGCTGAGAGAGGGTGGGGGCTTTCCTATTCCCAGTCTCCTGCTTCCTTTCTCTGCTGCTTTAGGCATCCAAAAACACTACTTTTTTTTTTTAAAGAAGAAATGGTTCCTCCTAGACTTCTCAGGCCAGTAAACAGAAGTGTATGTTTAGAGACAGAGGGTGAGATTGCAAAAAGGCACTGTGCCCGGTCAGAGAAGGCATCAGACATGGCTCAAGGAAGCTACGCAAGGGAAACCCTTCTGCTTCAAGAGCAGATAAAGGAGCCGCATCCCACACAGGTAGCTGTCAGTGGGATCACATCCACGAACCCCCTTTCAAAGGTTCACCCTGTCAGCATAGCCTGGGACAGGGTAAGGGACAGAGGAGTCCAGGACCTCTGAAGGTGGAGGGGAGATTATGCCATCAGCTCATGGCAAAGGAGCCTCTGATATACCAACAGCTTGTGACTGTCTAAACAGTCACCCTGAGGGTGAGCCTGTTGCCCCTGCTGACCAGCTTTTGGCTTTCTGCCTAACAGCTAGGAAAACCTGGTGAGTTAGTTGCTAGATCGCATTCATTTCCTGGTTCTCATGTCTTCTGGTTGAGAGTTTGTGTGGTTCACTTGTTAGTATGTAAAAGGATGGTTTTGGGTTCAGAATGTGTGATGGAAGATACTGGGGGATAGAAACAGGGAAATTAGAACTCTTAAGATTATAGTTGGGTGTGGTGGCACATGAATCTAATACACCCAAGAGGCAGAGGTGGGTAGACTGTGTGTTTGAGGCCAGCCTAGTCTACATAGAGAGTTCTAGGCCACCCAGGAACACACAGTGAGACCCTGTGTTGTGACAACTCTTCTAATCTGAACACTGGGAGACAGCCACACATCAGCTAGCAGCCCTTCCTGCTCCCTACCCAGGCTGGCCATGGGTGGCCCAGTGTCTTTGTTTTGGTTTGATTTGTTGAAACAGGCAAGCACCTTCCCACCTTCCCCTATCTGCAGCCCTTCCAGTGTGTACAATGAACCTCTTTGCTAGTCAGTACTTACTAAATATGGTGGAAGTGTCTCAGCATGCTCCCAGTGAAGTGCCCAGGGCCCTGAGATGGCTCAACCTCCTCCAGGAACATTTTCATTCTGTCCCAGCCCTGTGGCTCAGACCAATGAGAAAATCCTTCAAGGGAAGATGCTTTATTCAAATGTGGCTAATTACAGAATGAGCACCCACCACCTTTAGCTTCCTCCTGCCTGGAACACCTATGGCCCCATGTCCAGAGCAGGTCCTGTATGAGCTGGTCACTAGCCCATCAGAGGGCTCTCCCTCTCAGGAACACAAGTGAGAACGAAGGAAGGAGAAAGCAATGACTTGTCTTGACAGAGGTCAGGCTACATGGCCCTGGTACAAGCTAAACAGAGTGATAGTAACATCGTTTGAATGCTCCTTTCATGCCAAGCCACATACTTTATGGTCCTTATTTTGTACCCCATACCCAACAACCTGATAAGGAAGAGTCTAGGCCATGGAGCCAGCCATTAGTTTAAACCTATCCTTGCCTTTTGCACGTTGTATACTCTCAAGAACATTCTTACATTCTTTTTTTTTTAAAGATTTTATTTATTTGTGATGTATACAATTATCTTTATGCATGCTTGTACATCAGAAGAGGGCACCAGATCTCATTATAGATGGTTGTGAGCCACCATGTGGTTGCTGGGAATTGAACTCAAGGTCCTCTGGTAGAACAGCCAGTGCTCTTAACCTCTGAGCCATCTCTCCAGCCCCCCATTCTTACATTCTTAAAGGCTCAATTTCCTTATCTGTAAAACAGATTAATAATAGTACCTACACCATAATATTCTGAGGATTGTATCAGATAAATGCATATAAAATGGTAAGACATGTCTCTGGTACAAGGCAGACAGTCAACAAGTACTAGCTAGTCTTATTACTATTGCCTTTGATAGCTTCTTTTTTGGGCTTCTGTAACAAAGTCCCACTAGATGACATATGTGTGACACACTAGAGGCTAGTAATCCAAAATCAAGGTGTCGGTGGGTTGGGTCCTTTGGAAGGTTGTGAGCGACAGTCTGTTCCATTTTATCAGGAAATCAGTCACACGATTTGAGCCAACTCTAATGACATGCTTTTAACATGATTACCTCTATAGAGATCCCGTCTCCGATTAAGGTCATGTTCTCAGGTACTAACAGTTGATAGTACCCATGCATCTTTTAGGGGAGACATAATTTGACCCCTGATATAAGGCTACATAACATGTTTAGTTATGTGACTTAATGGTGATGAAACTGGTCCTATAACCATTGATTCTTGAATTACAGAAAGAGTGAGGCAGGAGGGTCTAGCACTGTAACATGATGATGTTGTCATCTACAGATAGGTTGGGCTGCACTCATAGCTATCCTGAAACCCATGAAGGCTGTGGACCACAAGCTAGCCTAGCAGGAGCTATTCAGAGCCTACCAGTTTTGGTGATGGCATTTTCTCTTTATTTTTTCTTCTTCTACAGCCTGCCTGCTCCAGGCTGAGCTGGTAAATTATGAGCGAGTCAAGGAGTATTGCCTGAAGGTCCTGAAGAAGGAAGGAGAGAACTTCAAGGCCCTTTACAGGTCTGGTGTGGCCTTCTATCATCTTGGGGACTATGACAAAGCTCTTTACTACCTAAAAGAAGCAAGGACCCGACAACCAACAGGTGAGATAGCCATCCCTGCCTTCTCGTCGCAGACACCTCTGACAATACCTAGGGTCTGCTCATTGTAGAAGATGGCGTCGGTGGCTGGCAGGGCAAGGTGGGCCTAATAGTAGAAAACAAGGGCTTAGGTATAGGTAAGACCTGGAATGAGGAGACCACATGGTCCACACTTTTACCTGGGGTCTGGATCCCAGGGACCCTGGGCACCTCTTCTCTTCAGATACGCCATAGGATTGGGTTTTTCCTTTCCCAACTCAAACCTAGGTCTCTTCACTCATTCAATAAATAGATTCAGAGTTCTTATTATGTAGTATAATTTGTACTATGTAGATAAGAAGGTATCACCCCTTTCCCATGAGCCCACAGTTGATTAACACCACAGATATGAATAGAAACTTGATGCTGAGCACAGCATCTTCCAGGAAGTAAACACCAACTTCTCTCCCATCATTAGCTCTCCCATCATTCATTCATCCCCTGGGTATTTGTCAAGGTAGTGCAATGGGCCAAGAACTATTTATTCTAGGTGGTGAGTACATTAGCAGTGAACAAAGAAGTCCTAGCACCCAGGAAGCTGTGACAAGAGGACTGTGTAAGCCCAGTAGTTCAGCCCAGACTGAACAACACAAGGGAAAGTTATTTGTTTGTGTTTTGGTTTTTGCTGTTGTTGTTGTTGTTTGTTTGTTTGTTGTTTTTGTTTATTTTGAGACATGGTCTTGCTGTGTCAACCAGACTGTACCCAAACTCCCCATCCTCCTGCCTCCACCTTACAAGTGCTGAGATGAAAAGTGTGTGTCACCACACCCAACAAGGAATGTTCATTATAATGGGGGAAGCACACAGACAATGTGCATTATTTAGCAGTAGAAAATGCTTTAAGGAAATAACGCAGAGCAAAGGGAATTCTGCTTTAGAACAGGCAGTCAGAAAGCCTCTCGGACGAAGTGAACTGCGGGTGATGGCTTGGGCTTATTGCTATTGTTCACATGGCTGATTCCTTAAGATAACAAGATTTCCTCCAATCCACATCTTCCAGAACTTCTGAAGTTTCAAACATCCAAGCTTGTTCCTTCTTTGTCTTCTTAAAGAATACCTCTCTATTTTTTACATATGCCTTGTTTGTTTTCTATATATAAAGTGTGGTCTGCCAACTATACTGCACGCAACTTTGAAACTAAAGTAAACTCTTCCAACAGAGTTTTCTTGAGCACCTGCTATATGCGTGCACAGGATGCTATGCTTGGAGCTTTCAAGCATGATGCTGTATCGTTTTTTACTTCCACGTGTAGGTATCTCAGACAGCAGTGTGGTCCATATGTTGTGGTAAGTGCAGAACTAAAGGATTCTAGCATGCCATACACCACTCAATTTAAGGACTGGAACTAGGAGAAAATGCTTCAGTTGAGAAGTTTTTAGCTAGCTGTGCTTACAAAGACAAAAATAAGAATGCAAAGTCATTTTAAGCTCCTAAGTTAAGTAAAACAACACATCCAACTAATGTTCATTGATCGCTATGTTAAGCACTTTTTGACCTCCCTCTTCTGGCCCTCTCAGCAACTGTATGAGAAAGTCTAACCCCCAGGAGAATCAGGCTTTGACAGACATGCCAATCACTATGTGTCTACCTGTCTTCTTGAGCTTTTTTTTTTTTTTTTCCTACAGAGTCTATCCACATAGCCCTGGATGTCCTGAAACTCACTATGTAGACCAGACTGGCTTCGAACTCACAGAGATCTATCTGCCTGTTTCTGCCTCTCAAGGGATAGTGTTAAAAGGGTGTGCCACAATGTCTGGCTCCCTGAGCATCTCAATTTTTTTTCAGGTAGCAATCTTCCTTTTGCCATAGTGAGAGTTGAGATACATACCTTGCAGGTTGCAATAAGAACTAGATGAGATAATGAAGGCTATAAGCTTAGCACAACCAGGAACCGCGTGTCCACCTCCAGTCCCAGGTGCCTGGGAATCTGAGGCAAGAATATCGGTTGATTCCAACCTGGGCAACACCCTCCACTAAAAATGTTTGGTTTGCTTAGGTTTGTGAGATAGGGTTTTATGTAGCCCAGGTGCTGGGATTTACAGGCATGTGCCACTACACCTGGCTGTAAGCAGCATTGTTTTAACAACAACAACAACAAAAAGAAAACCCACAAAGAGTAAATATGAAAAATGAATGTTGTTTCTTGCAAATGAGACCCAAGGGTAGAGAAATTGGTGGCTTGCCTGAGCGTTAATACCAAGCAGAGCCTCAGCTCACTAACTGTGCTGACAGGAATGATTGAGGTCACTTCTTGCCTGCCAGGCCACAGTAGGCTGGTCACATTTGCTAGGGAGAAGCAGTGAGGAAAAGGCTGGCATCTGGCTACCACGTAGGACAAGGGACCTTGGCGGAATGAATCTAGTCGGTCACCAAGCTTTAGGCCCGGGTCTTGCCCCCTTCTTTGAAGATAAGCACCATAATCCACGTGGAATAATCCCTGGGCGTGTTTTCTCTCCCCACAGACACCAATGTGATTCGGTACATCCAGCTGACGGAGATGAAACTCAGCAGATGTTCCCAAAGAGAGAAAGAAGCCATGTGACGGGAGGCCTCTGTCGAGCCGCGCCCATACCTGACTAGGGCCTTCCAGGCACCCTTGGTGGAGAGTCCCTGTGGGGGTTCTCTTCCCTCTCTCCCTAGTTCTTCCTGAAGTACTCCTCCTTCCTGTTGCTCCCCAGCTCAGTCTACTCGTGTGAAAAGGTGAGGAGCACTCCTGGACCTTGGTGGGTGGCCCAAACTTGGACTCATCCTCTTCCCTAGCAGGCCGGCAAACAGCACAGCTGGAAAAGAGTGTCATGGATTGGGTGCAGATGGCACTGTGGCTTCAGCTTGGGCCTGGCAGGTGTGAGCATCGGACAGTCTGGACTCTCTACACCTTCTCGATGAACCAGAGCACCTTGAGGAAACTGAAAGAAGTCTGGCACTGATGGATGGGAGAGGCATTGCTTGCTCCAACGCTGAGACTGTGAATTTCCTTTCTTCCCCTCTGTCACCTGAGCCCTTGCCACACCCCCTTACTTGTCCAGGCTTGTATTTTATTCTCTCCCATTGGGAGGTCAGATCCTTGCCAAGATTCACATACCATTACGACCCACTCTCCGTGCCCTCTGGTGACCACACATACCATTCCCCCGCCTCCCAGCCAGCAGGCAGCTGTGACAGCAGAAGAGCAGGGTGACAGGGGCCAAATGTTGGGGGCAGAGCAGACAGTGTAGGTGACGAGCAGGGAAAGATGACGTGGAGGGGAAAGAAAGAGCCTTGGGTGGGCTGAGGGACTGGGCTAATCAGTGTAAATAAACACGAGTTCCCAGGCATCAGTTCCTGTCATTTCTGTTGAACATGGTCCACTCCCTCACTGCTCTTCCCTACAGCTTCCCCTAAATCCAATGACTGTTAGTCCAGGACTAAGCGTCGTGTTGGCCACAGCCTTTGTGCTATTAGGAATAGGCTGGGATTGTGGAGACTGCTCCAGGACCTGGCTTTGTGAGAATTTGTCCAGACCCCTTTTGTGACAACATTACCTGAACTCGTTACCTAGCACATACCAAATTTTTGTTGAATGGATACATTTTGACTGCAGACTGACTCTTCTGCCTTAAACTAATTGGGTCCCAGCCTGGTCTCGCATATGCTTTTATGCTATGCCGTGTAGAAACATCTCCTGGGGGCTTACAGTCCCCGCCCCCAGTGTAGTATAGGATGTAGTCCCAGCCTTCACAGAAACAGGAAAGCTGAGAAATCCATATGAGATTATTACCAATGACACCACTAATGTATAGGATGCTTAAACATTTTCAAGGCACTTTCATGTATTTTTCGTGTGACTTAGTGAGACACTGTTGTATAAAATTAAAATATATACAGATGCAATAATGTTAATAGTTAGGATTTATTAAATGCTCTATCTTCAGATCTTTACATGGACAATCTCGTTTCTTTCATATAGTCACTCTGTGAGATATTATTCCCAGGTGACGGAGAAGAAAACAGAAAGCCAGAAAAATTTACTTTTTTGAGGTTGCATGGCCTTACAGGACATGGCTAGGATTGAACCAGAGCTGTCTGACTCCAGAGCTCTGGCTACTAACTATCCTATGCTTACTTGCCTCTCTGTAATAACTATTTGAGCAGAAAAATTCGCATTAAGTTGGAAAATGTTCAACACATCAGTGTCCTGCACGCCTTATAGTTACATACACAAGACAGAAAGAGACCAGAAGCCAGAAGCCCTCGTGGCTTGAGCAATGGCCAGCCAGGAGAAGTCAACTGAGACCCAGCAGTTGCATTTCTGTACTGATCCTTCTATTTGCTGATGGGGCAGCATGAATCTCAACAACCCACCTGGCATCCCTCACTGTATGGCCAGCAGTGGGAAAGGATCCCAGTCATAACAAAGACTGAAGAGAAACAGGACATGAATTATGGGTTACTTGCTTAGGTGGTGGCTTTGCTGCTGCCAGACCCAATCACTGCTGAGGGGCCCAGAAAGCCAACAGCACAGCTTTTATCCACACAGCTTCCCCAAATGCTTTCACTGGGGGCTGCAGGAGGGTGCTAGAAATATCCAGAAGTCCACGGGGACTCTGGAGAAGAAGAAAAGGAAAAAGCCATCCCAAGTACCACATTCCCTGCTTCTATCCCTGACTTTAACTGTATCCTGTCTTCCTCCTCCAAAATGACTTCACATGACCCAACCCAAAACTCTCCTCAGCCCTGGCATATGCCTATGTCCATCCCCTTAGCCACCAATGCCATCCCCAAGCACAGAGTTTGTAAGCTGACAAACTATTAGAACTGAAATGAGGTCACAGGTAGTCTACAGCCTGAGTTCAAGCTGCCAGGAACTCCCTTTGTTCTTCAACGCATTAGGAATGATGTAGGTACATATACTCAACAAAGGGGCAAGAGAAAAGGCGTGGTTGAATGAGTGCATTGGGTGGAGGCTATACTCATAGGGTTAAAATCATTGTCCATCCAACACACACACACACACACACAGAGAGAGAGAGAGAGAGAGAGAGAGAGAGAGAGAGAGAGAGAGAGAGAGAGAATACTTGGAAGGCACAACGAGGTGAGGACAAGTTTATAGCCATCCTCTTATCCAGGGACTCTGATACATATGCACATGGGAGCTCCATCCACTGTCACCCAGACTTAAGTGATGCCCCCCCCCCACCCAGAAGCTGCCTGGGGTATTAGTTAACCCATAGGCGTGGCACTGTGCATTTGTCAGCATAGTCTTCAGAGGGCTGTTTACTCTTCCTTTTTCCCTATCTCCTGAAACCAAGGACTGTACTCTACAGGCTTGGTGGCTGTCACTGTTGAACTGTTCACACAGCACTCATCGTGAACCTGACTGGCGCTGTCACCTGCCTGGACTTTCGTGAGAGACCCTTGGCATAAAACTTAGACTTTTTGTTGCGTTACAAAACCCTCCCATGTGTATTGTAAAACATGTAAGGAAAGTTAAGGATGAATCTCAGTCCATCACACAACCACATCTTTACCCTCTTGCCACATGCTTCGTTTTCCTGGGGATAAACGTGTACGTGCACTCTCACCAGATTTTGTTTGTTTTTTCTTAAATGAAGAAAACTGGATCATGCTGTATATACTCTTTAATAACTTACTTTTCAAATGTGTATTTATATTTTAGAATATGCAATATATGAACAGATATACAAAATTCAAGTAGTATACAAACTCTGTAGTTGGAAGTAACTCTTTCTCCCTTGTCTGATCGCAGCTTGTTTCCTTCTGGTTCCTTGTATACCCTACTAGAGATACACATTTTTTTCAAAGATATGTAAATATATGCTTTTATTACTCACAAGCATACTCTGTTGCTTTATGTAACACATCATGGGCATTTCAGCATGTCTTTTGGATTTTTATGCTAGCATCTTCACGATGTGGGTGGATCTTCATTTTGTAACCTCTCCACTGATACAGATGATTTCACTTGGTCCCAATCTTTATTGTAAATAATGTTGTAACTGACATTCTTGTTGCTAAATTTTGCACATGTCTATGATGAGTTCCTTAGGATATAATCCAAGAAGGAAATTGCTTGGCTATTTTCAAGGATTTTGATACATGTTACCAATGCCTTGTAGAAAGTTTGTACCAAAACATGGTCCTGTTTGCAGCCCCCAGAGTGCCCTGCTCTCTGGGCCTGAATAAGAACTAGGTATTAACACTTTCCACATCTTTGCCAGTTTGATAGGCAAATGACAGTATGTCAATGGTATTTCAACTGATTGCTTTAACTTTCTTTGATTATCGGTGAGTAACATTTTCATATGCTTATTGACCCTTTGTATTTCTTTCCTTGTGAAATTTTCTATTCATTTGATATTGGTATGTTCAGCTTTATCTATGTTTATTATCTGTTATAACTTTAAGAATATTATTTTTGTCAAGAAATGCTGCTGATCTGCTTTCCAAGTGCTTGGCTTTCATTTACGGTGCTTTTTGACATACATAAATTCCTAATTCTGCAATCAGTCTGTCCTATGTTGCTAGCTTTTCCTGCCTACATCTTAGACCCTCGTGTCTAAGAGGCAATCAGAGCAGGTGCTTCTACAGCTTCAAGATGCTTTGTCACTTCTCATCACTCCTAAGATAAAATCAAACCCCTTCACATAACACTCCAGGTCTCTCCTGTACTGTCTCGCTGTAACGTTAGCAAGCTCACTTCTGACCCTCTACAAGTATCCTCCATTCCATAGCCATGTAGTCCTGAGCCACTGAGCTGGGGCTGAGGGACTTTTCCATACTGGTCCCTGTGTCTTATTGGACATTCCTCACACTTCACCCCATCTTTGCCTTGTAACCCTTTTGAGCGCTGACCCAGGGTCACTCTCCAAATCTTAGTCCGTGTTCCTAGAGCAAAGCCTCCCTACCTCTGCCCAGTATCTGCCACACATGGTCAGAATGTCCTCTTTACACTTACCTCTCTCCTTGCCTGGGTGTCTGTTCCCCAAAGCAGGCGCTCAGGTTTCCTTGCAGCCAGAATATCTGACATTGTAGATGTTTGGAAGCTGCCGAGCAGAGGCCCTGCAATGGATAAACAGTGAATTTGGTGGCAGGTTTTGCTTGTGGCATAATACAGGGCTGGACTAGATCTGTGCTTCTGAGAAATGAGAACTTCCTGTAAGACTTGGGTTGGCAGGGAAGCCACATGCTCCAGCCCTTGCTTTCCCAAACATCATCATCCTCATTTGAGCTTTTTGAAAGTACATGCTCCCGGGTTCAGCCTCAGACCCAATGAATCAGACGTATAGGGTTAAAGCCCAAGACATTAGTGTGCTTAGAAAGTTCTGATGACCAGGCACGTTTCGGGGCCAGCACTCCTAGAGACCAACGGATTCATTGCATTGCTTCCATCACTCCAAACCATTTGATGTCTTACAGTGGACAGGTGAAGCTTTATCAGAGGGACTTAACTTTCTGACTCCCATTCCCCTAACCTGCGTAGAAAGGTGTTATAAGGATTAAGAAATAACTGACTCCCAGCTAGTGTCTGCAACAGAGTGAGCACGGAATAAACAATCATTTCCTTCCCCACCTCTTCAGCCTCACTTTTCCTCATTTATGGTGTGAGGGTACCTCTGCCCTCCCTATTCTTACACTCAGCACTCGAAAAGCCCTTGTCTAAGTCTGGTCAAATAGGACAAGTTCTTAGGAGGGGCGGTAGGAAACTGAGCAAGCTCCATACGGCCTCTTCTTGCCATCTCCACAGCACCTGGTGGGAAACAGAAGCATACTGATGACTTTCAGAACCCTCTGCCCTCTGGTCATATTCAAAGAGCAACACAGATTTCTTTCCTGACAATCCACCCAAGAGATCAAGCAGCCACCATGCAGCAAGGAGGAAGAAGCTATTAGGAAATAGAAATTGCCCACTCTCCTTCTGGTGCCCTTGGTATCCCCCATCACGTGACCATTGTGCAGTCAAACTACTGATGGGGGCAGTTGCTTTGATTAAGATGCTCTGCCCTCTGTAGCCAGCACCAGGCAGTCCAGGGCAGGTGGCGGAGGCAGGGGGAAAATGCACTCTGTCCATCAGGCATACACAGTTCAAATTACCAAGTCAGCATGAAAAGCCCCACTCTAAAATGGACTTAAATTGGATTCTATTAAAAACCGCATGCAGCAATGCCTTTGGCTATTAATATTTGCTAAGATGTAGAAGAGGGAGAGGAGGTGGCGTCTCTGGGGATGGTGGGGACTAAGCTGCTGTTAAATAGCTTTTCTGGAAGGAGACCTACGCTGGACTGTCCTCAAAGTCTCAGAGTGTTAGGCTTGAAAGGAAGCATGAAGTGAAATCCCTGTACCCTCTTTTATATGCAACTGGTCAAATCCAGTGTGATGATCTATCCAGGGCCACGCAGCTTGTAGGTAGCTCAGTCAGACCTGGAATTTGGGCCAATTTCCTGAGAGCAAACAATACTCTTTCCCCTGAAGGAAAACATGTATTTTAATGCTGTGAAATGTTTTGTTCTAAAGTGAGACACTGTGCTCACTTGCTTATTCCTCCCCTTGGTATCTGTCCCCACCTGCTCTTCAGAAGGCCCAGTGGTTAGCAAGGCACTGCATCCGTCTGCAAGACTTGCAGCACACTGGCAAGAGGGGAAGTAAGCAGGAAGTGTCACCAAAGCCTGGGGAACGCATAGAAAGGTACATCTGTACTAATCCTGAGGGAGCGTGGAGATTTTCCTGGGGAATGGTAAGGGACAGATGTATGAAATTCAGGCCTAATGACAATCATTTCTCCTCTCCTGGCTGTAACACTAAAGAGATATCAGAGAGTTCTCATGTGCTATGGTCCTGCCTTTCTCTTGATTTCTCTCATGTGGAATCAAGTAATGGTTTCATGCTGCTTCTTTGCTACCTTTTTAGATCACACAGAAGAT